ACTAGCAATATTGAAACTCACCTTGCAGGCACAGAATGCCCTGATTTGTTGATGAAAATGCATTGGATTGGATCCTGCGACTCTGAAGAAAGTCCGTCTTGGAGGAAAACTCAGGACAGAGGAAACCTTTCTGTTATAGAGGAAGTCTTTTCATGTGGAAATAAAACTTAGTGGAAGCAAATCTCAGGGTCCAGCTTAGTGTGAGAGAGTGATGGGATCCAACCTTGTCTGCCCTGCAAATATTTGACAGGGAGAAAACAATGGCCTCTAATATTTCTGTGGGTGGAACCTGGACAGTGCAGTAGACCTGCTTCCATCACTGTGCTGGGAGCTTCCCCACCCTCTCATAATTGGTAGATAGAGGCCAAGGAAACGCACAATGCATAGTAGCATTAGGCTAGATATTACCAGGAAGAAGGGAGAAAGATTCAGAGAAGACAAAACTCGGTGTCCCTTGCTACATATGTCAGGGTTTTGTTCAGTGCTGCCTGATTGGTTTGGACTCTGGGTCCTTAAAGATTTCCTTTAACTACTATCTGGAATCAGTTCAGAAGTTTCTGTTGTGGAAGAAAGACAGGGTGCAAATGGAATGAATGAACAGACTTACTGGATGTAAATCCCATAACACAAGACGCTTACTTTCACAAAGAAATTCATTTGTCTTGTAGTTGCCACCAAGCTCCTGGAGCACATAGGTGGCTGCTGAGAAAGGAAAAAAGACAAAGAAGGGCTAGTTTTCCCACTGTGACTGAGGAAGAAAGGAAGGGAGAGTGAAGTGTAAACATTCAGTATTAACTCATGTGAAATTCCTGGGTTTTTTTTGTTGGTGATGGAGATAGTAGCAAGGAGTTTATACTTTACAGGTGGGTAGATTAAATTTAGAAGCTGCACAAATTAAATCACTGATAGGGGTGGGCACAAACCTAAGTTTGAGCCAAAAATCGCCTGGTTCATGGTTCATGAGCCCACAATGAGCCCATGCGATCATGCCCACAACGAACCTCCATGTTTTTCACGGAGGTACATATGGTTTGTGTTGGCGGTTCATGCATGAGTGAAGTCCAAGTGGTAAGTTCACCCACTTCCAGGTGAACTCACAGATTGGACTTCACTCGTGCACGAACGGGAAGGCTTGTAAAGTTTCATGGTCTGTGTGGCCCCCCCAGACCATGAACTGAAACAAACCTCAATTTTTCTGGTTCATGCCCATCACTGATGTCACTGAGCACATTAGCAGAAGTGCTGTTTTGATCATTTGTTTGTATGTTAATCTTTACTATGCAACAGCATGAAGGAAAACAGGATAGTTTCCATAGGTACCACTGAAACATTTAACAAAAGAGCCAAAATCCATATCCCCAAGTATTCCTTTGACTAGTTTTCATAGTGGGGGAGGGGAAATTTAGGGGTTTCAGAAGTGTTTGTGATGTGGCATTGAAGGAGTCACGGGGGGGAAAGCAAACGTTCACCTGGCTAATTCATCAGCCTGAGCACCTCTTTGGATCCTTGCCAATGTAGTGAATAAATTCATGTTCCTTGGTGTGTACGTTGCCAGTTATCCCTAGACAGACTACTCTGTAATTGCAATATGTAGGTATGGTTGGCTTTGCTGCCAGTCCCTTTACAGACTAGGGCTTGAAGATTATTTTACCAGAATCTGTAGTAAAAATTAAAGTGATAACAGTAAGATGCCAAAAATCCAAATCTCCACAGTTAAATGTTCTTGTGCCCTTTGTTTCATAGAACTACTCACTAAGATGTCTTGATTGATTTTTTCTTTTTTAATAAGATGATTTTTATTACAATCATCAGGTTGCTTTTCTAATGTAGAATCGTGTGGGAATTATTCATTTATGCTGATATAATCTGAATGATCTTGTGTAACTTTTTGGTATGTGAAAAGAACTGCTTGTGGATCTGATGTAGTAATTCCACACTGAATAGCAGTTTTCCCTTTAAATATTAGTTTCCCTGTTGGATTGCACATTACAGATACAGCTTTTCTGTTTCAGGGTTCTACAGTAGCAAGAGAAGCCAGTGACAAGGAAAAGGTATGCCAAAGTTATACTTCCTTAGGTATCGAACTTCAGCTTTTTGAAAAAAATACCAGAATAATGGCTATCCTGCATCATTGTGCCATAGCTTCATACCCTGTACACATCTTGGGAGAGACCTTAACTGCAAACCAAAGGTCCGCACATACTTAGGGATCCTCTTGCCAGTACTGGAAGATAACACCCAGCATGCAGTTTGTCTGGTTTATTTTATCTATTACAAAGAAACACAACTTAGCATTTTGAAGCAGTGTTGAAAAATATCTGTCACTACCAGCTTCCGATTCCCTTTTGACTTCTTAAATAAAACATTTAGATGCTGCCCTTCTATACTTGAAAGGCAGTCGCCCCCAGAAGATCCTTATCGCAGTGTATTCTAGAGCATTGTGCAAGAGAAGTCAGGCAAAACCCACGGGTGATGATCTACTTGAGGAAGAGCTTCTGCAAGCAAGCATGCACACTACGGAATTTGTAACACTGGTGAAGCTCTATGAGCTTGCCCCTGGAACCTCAGTCACCATTTTCCTTCTGCTCATAGTCCTTTAGAACCAGCCCAACCTAGAGTTGTATGATTTTTGCCCTGGATAATATTTCAACAATAATGGCATGGCTTAATGGCAACAATAATGGAATTGCTTTATGCCAACAAGTACTGAAACTTACTTGAAGAGGCATTGAATTTTTTACAAAAGGGCAGTAGATTTCAACAGCTGCTGAGTTCTGACAGCTAGTGTTTTGTCTTCTCTTTCCTGAATTTATATAGTGATGGACTTGAGGCTCCTTAAAGACTAGCAGACTTTTTATTCTAGCATCAACTTTCATAGACTGGAGTCCTAGTCTATAAAAGCTTATGCAAGAATAAAACCGTGCTAGTCTTTCAAATGCCACAGGACCCCTGTTTATTTGTGCTGCAACAACCCCCACACACAAGAATTAAAACACATGGCATAAGCAAAACTCACAGCCAGATCTGCAGTGGGAAATCACCATCCACCAAATTCTGGGATAAAACTGCTTTGCATGCTTTCCTACATTTAGTGAGTGAATATACCTGCCTCACCTACTCTGGCAGGTTGGTACACCAGACTGCGAAGGGGGGGAGATTCTGAGGTGATTAACCTATTGAATTCTCAATAAAACCTTGAAAACCTAGTTACTGTGTCAGTTGTCGTTTAGGATAGATGCTTAGATCAAACTAAAGGGCTCTTTAATACTGCTCTTCATACAATAAAGAGAATCAGCAAAGCGAGTTATTGAGTACTATAAGCATACTTATGGGATTAATTGGAGCCCCCTTTTTGTGAGCAACAATTACTTTGATCTAACCTTGACCCATTAATGGATAAAACACAAAGTTCTCTATCAAGAGTAGCAGATGCTTCAGAGATATTACATCAAATGACATTCAAATAAATGTTATTGTGTCGCATGTCCTATGAGACTAAATCCTCTTCTAGTCTGTTTCCATACTTTCTCCCTTGTATAGCTATTTAGCTATTACCCTGTTGATTTTAGGATTTTCTACGATTCCTGAACAGGAAATATTGTCTTTAATTGGTGCTTCTTCTACACAAGATACACTATTATGATGCCCAGTGTAACCTGATTTATAATAATGTGTAATTTTTATTTCATTTATGCCCCTGCCTTTCTTCCCATTGGGGACCCATAGCAGCTTACATCATTCGCTTCTTCTCCATTTTATTCTCACAACAACCTTGTAAGGTAGGTTAGGCTGAGAAAGTGTGACCGGCCTAAGGTCACTCAGCGAGCCTCCACGGCACACCACCCTGGCTTTCAGTTTTGCATTTATGTGTATAGGGATGTAGTGCCCTGTTTCATGAACTTGTTCTGTAGTAACTAAAGTAGCTGTCCTAATACATCAGATTCTAAAGGTTGCAGTTTATAGCTGTGGCTACCCTGCCAGCAAGGACAACATCGCCCTTTATCATTCAGTAAATTTTGTTCATGTTCTTGCGTCTTCATCAGCAGTAGGATCCTGGGTAATTCTGCTTAAGACTTACTGGAGGACAATAGGAAGTGGAATATTCACTGTGATCCTTTATGAAGCTATATTGGTAAGCTCCCTTTGGTCTGAGTGTACATGGAAATAACTCTTGTGCCATAGTCGTGCCTAGAGTTTCAGAGAGGTGGCATCACTGGGGGGGGGGTGTATTTCTTTGCAGCTCATGGGATTCTGGAAGGCCCCTGACTTTTGAGAGAGGGATTTGCAGGGGGATGTTGCTGAAAGGGGAAGTCAGATGTCTGCTATCTGCATGTACTCTTCTGGGGCCCATAAAAGTCCTGATATAATTTGTCTTTGTGTTATCTTAAAATAAATATTAAGAATGCTTGGATTAATATGTTAAGAACTCATCTATGTTGAGTGAAAACCAGCCAAAATCTTGCATTCTGTGCACTGACTAGGGCATGATACCTATTTTGATAGCTCCCATATATCTGCAGGTGGCAGGCTCCAAGGCGGACATCCTTTTTTGTGAGGCAATGCTGAGATCTTAGAAGTGAAAGTACATAGTTTCTGCCTGCTGGAAGTGAACTGTGTAATCATGAGGTGCAGATTTGAGGTGAGAACTAGCAGAGAAGGGAATTTGGTAGGTTATGTGGAGTCTGAAATGTCCATGAGAAAAAAACGGGTTGGCAAGCCAACCTGAAGAAATTCCAAATTAAATTGAAAATTATGTTTCTGCATTTATTTCATCTCTGTGTTGAAGAGCCTTCTCATTTTATGCAGTATGGCCAATAACAGTGAAAGAATGAGGGGGCTATAGAAGCCTCTTTATATCTTCTCCTAGTGATATGAAGTACCTGAATCTTGTATTCTTTTTATCTGTCATTTTTGTGCATCTGCACAACAGATGTCCTACACTATGTATCAGGTAGGTATAAAAAGTCTAATATGTTATCTGTCTCTCTGTTTCTCTCTAGTATATAGTGGAGTGTCACGGGAACACGCTTCTTCCCCAGTTTTTGGGCATGTACCGGCTTACTGTTGATGGAGTTGAAGTATATATGATTGTCACAAGAAATGTATTCAGCCATCGCTTATCTGTTTATAGAAAATATGATTTAAAGGTAAGCAGCATCTTTTAAAATATGAGTAGTGCAGTGGTTAGAATAGTTTTTTGGGGAAAGTGATGCAGTTTTGTGGGGGAAAGTAAGGCCGTTTCAGCACAGGTTATCTGCCCCGAGCTCAATACTGCTGGGAAGTAGATTTTGTTCTTGCTTTCCTACAGCATTGTGGTGCATTTGTGCATCTCCCGGGGTTTTATTATCTTTTCTTCAGTCTTTCTCAAACCTGGTTTGTTCTGAAGTTTTGGGGAAAATCATAGTAAAGCCTGGATACTTGCTGTATGGCTGGGAAAATTCAGATTTTCCCACCAGCGTGGCAGTCATTTTCCCTAACACTCTTCCTGTGGCAGCCATTTCCCCTCTGCCTCCAGTGGGGCTTAAAAAAAAAAAGCTCTAGAGTATCATGGCTGGGAAAATTCAGATTTTCCCACCAGCATGGCAGTCATTTTCCCTAACACTCTTCCTTTGGCAGCCATTTCCCCTCTGCCTCCAGGGGGGCTTTAAAAAAAAAAAGCTCTAGAGTATCACTATATTGATAACATTATACCAGTATGCATACCTGGTTGCCTAAATTCATGGCTTTCATTTAGGAAAAAAGTCTCTAGCCCCTTCTGTTGCAGATATATGCCTTTCTCCTTATATCTATACAATGGAAGGAGTAGAGACTTTCTCTTTAATGAAAGCTGGAAACTCAGAGAACCTAGTACAGATATGGGGATAATGTTCTGTTGCTACATTATTCTAGGGACTTTTTTTTGAATTGCAAAAGCCTTGGTGGCTCAAGTGGTGGTGGTGGCTCTTGGGGGGGGAGGGGCTAGGCAAGAAGACTATACCAGCAACAAGTAATCCACCCAAACATGTCCCTGTGTGGAAACCACCAGACTTATTTAAGTTCCAGCTACTGCAGTATTTTAACATCTAGCAAACCATTCTGTTAACCTGTGATTACTAAAATAGAATTTGTGGCTTATTTACCCTCAAAATGCCTTTTATGGAAATAAGATAATGTAAGCTGCATCATGTGTTGTAAAGGAAGTGGCTTAGCAGAAGTATGCTAGCTAAAAGTAGATAAGTGTTAATTGAGGGATGCAGTAGAAGCCATTTGAGGGGAAAATGCAGAGACTCTATTGCATCCTTAATGCATTCTGATGGCTGCTACAACTTATTCTGCTTGCAGATTTCTTTTTGATTACCAACAGAACAGCTTTAACACGTTAAGGCAGGTCCCCCCATGGTGCTCTGGTTCTTTAATGGCGATTCTTTTGTTTATTAAAATAAGTTCAGTTACAGTTGGGGAATGGGTGGGATTGGAAAGCCACACTATGCAAATGTCTGTTTAACCTGAGCCAGATAAATTTAATTTCTCATAACTGACGGTCTATCCATGTCCTTCCTTACAAGAAGGAATGTGATGAAGTTAAAGGCATCTCAATTGGAGGCTGTCCGGCCTCTCTTTCAGACAGGCAGTTCTCAAGACAGACTATCCCTCAGTGTACCTTATTTTAACCAGCTGACAGATGCTATGTCAGCAGAAGAAAATATATTGTACACTTTCACATCTGGTTTTCATTAAAAAAAAAAACACGCTTTTTCTGTGAAAGACTTAAATGTAACTGTAAATGTAACTGTAAAGTGGAACCTGAAATATCAGGAACCAGAATATAAGCTATATAATAAAATGTTGTAGCCCCCAAACAAAACAGAATAGTGTGTGTTTATTGTCCTAGTTCATCATTGTGAATGACGGCACCAAGGTTCTGGAGTCAACAGAATTACTGCCTGACGGCTCCTCCACCTGCTGTTGATACTAATACTCCCAAACATCACTGTTTACAGTTGTTTTATGGCTTTCTTTAAAAATTTTATGGTGGTTGTTTTTATGATTTTATGGTATTGTTTTTACTTCGTAAGCCACTTTGTCTCTGGAGAGGCAGAATGTACAGTTTCTATATAAATACTGTGTCTCCTAGTCTACAATTTTAACTATATATATTTATTTGAAATGAAACATTTCTCACTTACTGCAGTCTCGCATTAACAAATGCAAGCTGGTGTTTGAATCCATTTTACAACAAAAACCAAGAAACTGGTCAGATGGTAAAAATATAGATGTTGTCAGTGCTAGCTGTCTCATCCTTCCCCCACTAGTTACTACTTTGGGATGAGATTCCAAGCTGTTCTTCTCAATGACTCCCTTTCAAAATGCAGTTTTAAAAACCCTTCTGAAAACAAGCATTTTGTGAAGATGACTAGCAATATTGAAACTCACCTTGCAGGCACAGAATGCCCTGATTTGTTGATGAAAATGCATTGGATTGGATCCTGCGACTCTGAAGAAAGTCCGTCTTGGAGGAAAACTCAGGACAGAGGAAACCTTTCTGTTATAGAGGAAGTCTTTTCATGTGGAAATAAAACTTTGTGGAAGCAAATCTCAGGGTCCAGCTTAGTGTGAGAGAGTGATAGGATCCAACCTTGTCTGCCCTGCAAATATTTGACAGGGAGAAAACAGTGGCCTCTAATATTTCTGTGGGTGGAACTGGACAGTGCAGTAGACCTGCTTCCATCACTGTGCTGGGAGCTTCCCCACCCTCTCATAATTGGTAGATAGAGGCCAAGGAAACGCACAATGCATAGTAGCATTAGGCTAGATATTACCAGGAAGAAGGGAGAAAGATTCAGAGAAGACAAAACTCGGTGTCCCTTGCTACATATGTCAGGGTTTTGTTCAGTGCTGCCTGATTGGTTTGGACTCTGGGTCCTTAAAGATTTCCTTTAACTACTATCTGGAATCAGTTCAGAAGTTTCTGTTGTGGAAGAAAGACAGGGTGCAAATGGAATGAATGAACAGACTTACTGGATGTAAATCCCATAACACAAGACGCTTACTTTCACAAAGAAAGTCATTTGTCTTGTGGTTGCCACCAAGCTCCTGGAGCACATAGGTGGCTGCTGAGAAAGGAAAAAAGAGAAAGAAGGGCTAGTTTTCCCACTGTAACTGAGGAAGAAAGCAAGGGAGAGTGAAGTGTTAACATTCAGTATTAGCTCATGTGAGATTCCTGTGGGTTTTTTTGTTGGTGATGGAGATAATAGCAAGGAGTTTATACTTTACAGGTGGGTAGATTAAATTTAGAAGCTGCACAAATTAAATCACTGATAGGGGTGGGCACAAACCTAAGTTTGAGCCAAAAATCGCCTGGTTCATGGTTCATGAGCTGAGGGTCATGCGATCATGCCCACAACGAACCTCCATGTTTTTCACGGAGGTACATATGGTTTGTGTTGGCGGTTCATGCATGAGTGAAGTCCAAGTGGTAAGTTCACCCACTTCCAGGTGAACTCACAGATTGGACTTCACTCGTGCACGAACGGGAAGGCTTGTAAAGTTTCATGGTCTGTGTGGCCCCCCCAGACCATGAACTGAAACAAACCTCAATTTTTCTGGTTCATGCCCATCACTGATGTCACTGAGCACATTAGCAGAAGTGCTGTTTTGATCATTTGTTTGTATGTTAATCTTTACTATGCAACAGCATGAAGGAAAACAGGATAGTTTCCATAGGTACCACTGAAACATTTAACAAAAGAGCCAAAATCCATATCCCCAAGTATTCCTTTGACTAGTTTTCATAGTGGGGGAGGGGGAATCGGGGGGTTTCATCAGCCTGAGCACCTCTTTGGATCCTTGCCAATGTAGTGAATAAATTCATGTTCCTTGGTGTGTACGTTGCCAGTTATCCCTAGACAGACTACTCTGTAATTGCAATATGTAGGTATGGTTGGCTTTGCTGCCAGTCCCTTTACAGACTAGGGCTTGAAGATTATTTTACCAGAATCTGTAGTAAAAATTAAACTGATAACAGTAAGATGCCGAAAATCCAAATCTCCACAGTTAAATGTTCTTTGTTTCATAGAACTACTCACTAAGATGTCTTGATTGATTTTTTCTTTTTTAATAAGATGATTTTTATTACAATCATCAGGTTGCTTTTCTAATGTAGAATCGTGTGGGAATTATTCATTTATGCTGATATAATCTGAATGATCTTGTGTAACTTTTTGGTATGTGAAAAGAACTGCTTGTGGATCTGATGTAGTAATTCCACACTGAATAGCAGTTTTCCCTTTAAATATTAGTTTCCCTGTTGGATTGCACATTACAGATACAGCTTTTCTGTTTCAGGGTTCTACAGTAGCAAGAGAAGCCAGTGACAAGGAAAAGGTATGCCAAAGTTATACTTCCTTAGGTATCGAACTTCAGCTTTTTGAAAAAAATACCAGAATAATGGCTATCCTGCATCATTGTGCCATAGCTTCATACCCTGTACACATCTTGGGAGAGACCTTAACTGCAAACCAAAGGTCCGCACATACTTAGGGATCCTCTTGCCAGTACTGGAAGATAACACCCAGCATGCAGTTTGTCTGGTTTATTTTATCTATTACAAAGAAACACAACTTAGCATTTTGAAGGAGTGTTGTAAAATATCTGTCACTACCAGCTTCCGCTTACCTTTTGACTTCTTAAATAAAACATTTAGATGCTGCCCTTCTATACTTGAAAGGCAGTTGCCCCCAGAAGATCCTTTTCGCAGTGTATTCTAGAGCATTGTGCAAGAGAAGTCAAGCAAAACCCATGGGTGATGATCTACTTGAGGAAGAGCTTCTGCAAGCAAGCATGCACACTGCGGAATTTGTAACACTGGTGAAGCTCTATGAGCTTGCCCCTGGAACCTCAGTCACCATTTTCCTTCTGCTCATAGTCCTTTAGAACCAGCCCAACCTAGAGTTGTATGATTTTTGCCCTGGATAATATTTCAACAATAATGGCATGGCTTAATGGCAACAATAATGGAATTGCTTTATGCCAACAAGTACTGAAACTTACTTGAAGAGGCATTGAATTTTTTACAAAAGAGCAGTAGATTTCAACAGCTGCTGAGTTCTGACAGCTAGTGTTTTGCCTTCTCTTTCCTGAATTTATATAGTGATGGACTTGAGGCTCCTTAAAGACTAGCAGACTTTTTATTCTAGCATCAACTTTCATAGACTGGAGTCCTAGTCTATAAAAGCTTATGCAAGAATAAAACCGTGCTAGTCTTTCAAATGCCACAGGACCCCTGTTTATTTGTGCTGCAACAGACTAACATGGCCACTCCTCTGCAATTATATAGTGACTTGTTGCTCTTACTCTTGCCTTGGATGACTTTACCATGGACAAGGATAGTATGGTATGCACCTGCCACCTGTCTCTCATAGTTGTCCCGTTCTCTTCGTTGTAGCATATGTGTAATTATAGCTCTTCTGGTGTTCTAAGCCTGTTGCCAGTGAGCCAGGTGCTACAGGGTCTAGATCATTGCAATCCAAGTACTAGATCATGCTCAGGGAGTCTCCAATAAAATCAATCATCTTGTCTCCTACAACAGGAAGTGGCTTTCAGTTAACGTTTCCACCCTGCAAAAGCGAACAAGAGAATACATTCTTAATGAAGTGGGCAAGAAACTGTTGTCACTTTAGCCTGACGCAAATAAAGTATGAAATGTAGACGCATCTTTGTCATAGTGACATTTATGTACTTCAGTTATATCCTGTCTTTGGAACCCAAAGCAGCATGCATCGCTCCTGTCTTTTATCCTTGCAGCAACACCATGAGATAGGTTAGGCTGAGGGTGTGTGACTGGCGCAAGGTCACCCAGTGAGCTTCCATGGCACAGCAGACATTCAACCTTAGGTCTCCTAGATCCTAGCTAGTCCAGTGCACTAAATTACTGCACTCTCTTTTCTGTGTATTTGTGTGTGTGTGTGTGTGTTTGTGTGCACGCCTGGAAGTCATGGTTGATTTCTGGCTTGGACATTTCAGAGAGGTGGCTTGCTATTGCCTGCCTCTGTGTCCCAGCCCTGGTGTTCCTTGGAGGACTCCCTTCCAAGTACTTGGCAGGGCTGGCCCTGCTTGGCTTATGAGATATGATGACATCAGGCTTGTCTGGGCTATCCAGGTCAGGGCTTGACAGGACACTCTTGATGAAACTGTTGTAAATCTCCTACAACAGAAAACATCTCTTCTTCATAACCTGTTTGGTTTGTGTTGCCACTGCTGGTAGGAACAGTGTGGGGAAGCTCCCTAACTACCTCATTTGCTGTGACATAAAGAGTTTGGTGTAGTGATTAAGAGCAGTGGACTCTAATCTGGAGAACTGGGTTTGATTCCCCACTCCTCCATATGCAGCCACCTAGGTGACCTTAGGTCAGTCACAGTTCTCTCAGAGCTGTTCTCTCAGGAGCAGTTCTCTCAGCGCTCACTCAGCCCCACTTACCTCACAGGGTGTCTGTTGTGGGGAGAGGAAGGGAAGGAGATTGTAAGCTGCTTGAGACTCAGAGTGAAGGGTGGGATATCAATCCAACTATTATTATTGTTATTGTCATTATTTCCCTGACTTCTTACGCAAGAGAGAACTTGCTAACCAAATGAATTCTTTAGTCTCTTATCCAACAAGAGGTAGACCAACCCCCACACACACACAACCAAAGCCCTTCTTCCAGCCAGCCTACTAAATGGCACCAGTCTGAATCCTGCCACGTTCGCTAATCCCACGCCCTCCACATTAAATTTGTGACAGCAGCCACATTGAAGAGAGCTGTTGCTTATTTGCCAGTTTCAATGTTATATCTATGTGCATGTTTCAGTGCTAGCTAGCCTATCTTGACAGGACTGTTGTTGGAACTAGGTTGCTGTAAAACCGCTTCAGACCAGCTGCTGTCAATGAGGTAGCTTAGTCGTCAGAGCTTTATTTCTATTTTAGACTTCTGACAAATAGGAGCTTGTACTTTGCAACAAGTATTGGCAAGGAGATAAATAAAATGATTTTTAAAAAATACAGATCAAGCAGCACAATGTTTTCTTTATTTTCTTGCTGTGAGTTCTCTAATTGGCTTAATGTAAGCAAATCAATCATGAAAGCCAATTAGGGTACTGTTAACGTGTAGGAGGAAAATATGATACAGATGTTTCTTTGAGTGCTGAGTCAAACTCTATTCATTATGGTGCACCCCTTTGTCATAGCTTATTAATGCCCTCTTGTGGCGGTCACTTTGCATTTTTGATGAGTCCGACTTCATTTCCGCTACAATCAAGCGGTGCCTGTTTAACCAGACATATTTTTGTGTGTGTGTGTTTCGAAATGATTCTTACATGCTAGCTTTTGTCTCTTGTCTTAGGCCAAAGAACTGCCAACCTTCAAAGACAACGACTTCATTAACAATGGTCAGAAGATTCATATTGATGAAGCCAACAAAAAGATGTTTCTTGAAAAGCTTAAAAAGGATGTTGAAGTAAGATTGCTGTTTGTTGGACACTGAAGTATGGCACTTTTAGCAGGAACAGGATAAGCATTTGCAAATCTGTAGTAATACCTGTCACAGTGACACTTAATTCATGCTTCACAGATACTTGAATTGTGCAAGATGCTTTGGACAAAAATGTTTAAAGGCTTAATAGTGACCAATCTGTAAATTGTTTGCTTTGGTAAGGATCAAAATTCCATAATTGATAATTTTGTTTTGGTTTTTCACTGGTATCCAAATAATATGAGAGCCACATAAATATTCTGTATTAAAAGGGTATTAGAGGTTATTAGACTTACCTGCTTTCATAAGGGGAGCACTAAGCTTGGCTTATTTCTTAGAAGAGGTAGGCGTACATCTCTCGACATACCTGAAATTGTCCTGAGAAAAAAAAGAGAAGACATTTGACCTTCTAGCCTTGTTTTTGAGGCTTGTTTTCCACATGTCTTCTCCAGGACATAATTCAATCTGTTACTCCAATTCCCCCCCCCCCCAATCATTAGACCTAAGGTTGCATGCCCATCTGTGCTAAACATAAGGTGGCATCAGGTCTCAATTGCAGATCATTGAATGTCAACTGTTTTGATTCTGATTGATGAAATGTTGAATTACCTAGTTATATTCCTGATGAGTCTAGTTAAAATATATGGCTGGTCCCTGTGTTGCCTTTTAAGTGGGAGAAGAGGAATTCCAGGGCTCTGCCATTAGGTGTAAAATTGTTTTGAGAGTGCTGGATGCTGTGTTCTTAAATACTTGGACATTCTTGATACTCATATCAAAGTGTAACAGTTCAGAAATGCACCATAAAACACTTGATTTGTCTCTGAAATATTGGTCAAATTGTATTTCCGCTGTTTACATATGTCAGGCTCTTAGAAGGTTGCTTGTGTCATTGTGTTCAGAGTGGTTTCTACAGCATTGCTGCAGTTTTAAATTTCATGCGGTATGCAGGCAATTATTGTGAAGTGGCTCGACATCTCATGCTGATAATGGAAAGCCAGAATCAAGTCTTGGTGTTGCTTTATCTTGTTTATATTTTCTTTTCTTTTCTTTTCTTTTCTTCTGGGTAAGGGGTTTCAGTTAAGCAGTTCAGCAGAGATGCTTTTGCTCCAAAGAATGAGTAGCGTTTATACTTGTCTAGCCTACTTAAGTCTGACTACATTTTCAAGAACATTACAATTCTTCAGATCACAGCCTTGCTTTCTTCCTCTAGGGGCAGTCTCTTCTGAAAATTCTGGCCTCCTTTTATCTTGAGAACCCTGCTTGATTATTCACAGTCTAGCTACCAGCTGTACACAGCTGGGACACGACTAATCAACATGCCCTCATGTCAATCTCAAGGCAGTTTCTAATATATATATATAATATATATCAAAATGTGTCCTGTAACAGGGTTTCAACATACCACTGCACCCGTCTACCTTCTTTTGAGATTGCGGTTCAGTTACATGATGGGAAACCTCTTGTTTGTGCTGACTTGTCAATCTGCTTTCACTTTACAAGTGTCTTCCTCAAAATCCACCTGTTGAACCGTACTATGCCCAAATTATTGCTGCTTCTTTGCAGACAGTCAAACTTAGTAAAAATGCATTTGTCTGGATGAGGTACAGGATTGGTTTTGAGCTGAGACCTTCAAGTCTCATTTTTGCAGATTCTCCCTGGGGGCCCATGTCTTTACACTCCAAAGTGCATCTGTATCATCAGTTTCTGCAATCATGCATAAGCCCTGGCAGAAGTTGTGGTTATAAATATGAGAACAACCCTGCTGAATCAAACCACTGGTCCATCTAGACCAGCATTTGGTTTCATGCAGTGGCCAACCAGTTGCCCTGGAAGATAAAAAGAGGGCATAGTGGCCAAGGTCTTCTCTTGATGTTGCCTCCTAGCACTGGTATTAAGAGGGTTACTGCCTCTAGATGTGGAGGTTGACTTTAGTCACAGTGGCTGGTAGCCATCGATGAACCCCTCCTCCATGAACCTTTTAAAGCCATCTATGCTTTTGCCATCACTATGACCCCTGGCAGTTAATTCCACAATTTAATTGCTCATTGAATAAAGTAGTATTTCCTTTTGTCTTCCCTGAAACTGTTTCCCATCAACTTCATTGGGTGCCCTGAAGTTCTGTTGGGAGAGAGAAGAGGTTCTCTGTATCCATTTTCCCCATGCCATGCATAATTTTATAAGCTTCTGTTATGTCCCCCCTATGTCACCTTTTTTCTCTTCTAAAATGAAAAGGCCTAGACTCTTCATGCCCTCATAGGAAAGGTGCTTAATCCCTTGATCTTCTTGGTTGCCTCCTTCTGCATTTTGGGGATCAAGAGCAAAGCCATCAAGGATCATTCCAGTTGTTCCCACCCCTTCTGGCTCCCTATTTACATTTCTACCCAAAGTCTGCACTTAATCCCTTATCCGGAGAACTTGTTTTATGAGTACCTTTGCATGCTGCATGGAGATAATCACATTTCTAAGGAAACTTTTCTGTCTCTCTTGCAGAGAAAATAACATTTTCCTTATGTGGAGGGTTGCACAAGTTCTCACTTTTGCATGCTACCCCATAAGAGCAAGGGGAAATGTGACATTTTTTCAGTGGTGCTTGACAGTATGCAAAGCTGTAACCACTGACTTGAGTCCCTTGTGTTTGACAAGGTGCTTTCTTACTCTAGGGCAGGTCTTGTCTGGAAATTCTGGCCTGAAGTGCATTCAGAGATCTCCAGTATAAGTGGTGTTTATTCAGATACCTCCAAACCGAAACAGTGCCCCAGATTCCCTGTTTGGTTTCAGATTGAGTATTTCCACTCTGAAACTTACTAGGGGTGTGCAGGGGGAAACCCCCCCCCCACCCAGATTCGGGTATAATAAAGCTGAAATTTTTTTGGGATTCCCGAATACCAATATCGGTATTCTATTGGTATCTGAAAAATTTCGGCTTCATTATATCCTACTGTATGCCACTGTAGTCAATGGCAAAAATCTTCTAACAAGTATTCAGGGGGCTGAGGGGGAGGGGGTTTGAGGTAGAGGCACCAAATATGTACTGTAGCTGCTGGAGCCTCTCCCTAAAAGACTCCCCAAGTTTGGAAAAGATTGGACCAGGGGGTCCAACTTTAGGGGCATCCGAAGAAGGTGCCCCCAATCCTCCATTGTTTCCTAGAGGGATGAGAAAAGGGCAGGAAGATGTATCTCCCCCAAAAAGGGGACCTGATTCGGTATGCCAAATACCCGAAAAATGCCGGAAAAGGTTTTTTTGAGGGTTTTTTTTCAGTTCGGCTTTACCAAATGCACACCCCTAAAACTTACTAGGTAATTTCGGATATCTGATTGCACACAGTCCATGTAGCAGCCTACCATAATATTGGCACAAAATAAAAGTTTATTTTATTTTTGTTTATTTATTAGATTTTTAGTTGCCACTCACCTGAAGGGTCTCGTGGTGACTTACAACAGTAAAACCAATAAGGTAAAAACAACATTAAAACAAATATAAAATGTTAACATTAAAATATTAAAATATGTGGCTATCACCATACCACTATTAAAACAGCTCAAACACGTAGTTACCCTCCAAAGGCCAACCTAAATAATGCAGCTTTGCATGAAAACTAAACAAGTCCGGCAGGGCACAGGTGTCATCTGAGAGTGCATTCCACAGGGCAGGGTCCACAACTGAAATGGCCCTTCCTCTGGTGACAGCTGACTGAGCCATCCTGGGGCCAGGCACCTGCAAGAGGCCCCTAGACAGTGACTGAAGGGAGTGGGGGGGGGGGTTGCAGAAGTTGAGCTTCCACAACATGTTCAAGGTTAACTTCAATCTACAAATATTTAAGTGCAGTACAGATCTCCAAGAGAGACTAGGACAGCATCGGTTGGTTCAAGAAGAACACTCCTGTCTCACTGTTCCATTTTATTTCCTTCAACACTGCCAAAATTATATTTTAGCATGGTGGGAAATTTCAGACTCTTAAATTTACTCATCAAAACCTTTCCCATTTTGTTCGTCCCTCATTTGACAGAGACTTGAGCATTTCAGAGAGCCATGATTGTACAGGGTATGCAAAGTGCAGCTACTGGTGAAATTGTGTTTTTTTTAATAAAAATCTACCTTTTCTGGGCACTTGGATAAGATAAGAGTTCTTTGTCAAGGATTTAACAAGCTGTTCTATGAAACCAGAACTGTAGTAGTGGACTACAGCATTATCAAACAGGTTAACAACATGCTTGAACTTCCAAAAGTGGAAGCCAGTTCCTTTCCCAAGATGGGCCATAAAGAGAAATCACTAAAAGAACAAGATGGCAAATATGACTGTACCAGTGGAGGAAGACTCTGCTGGTGGGAATCCTTTTCTCCTTTGGAGGAAGAATTGGTGGAAGGGTGTGGTAGAATCTGTCTTTGCTAAAGCGAGTTGTAGGATCCAAATCAGACTGAAGCATGAGAAATTCAAGTTTTGCATTTTACTGGCATTTGGGTGCCAGGTATATTTTTAGGAGTAGTCAAGAAACTTGATTCTTTTTCTGCACTATTTCCCCAAATTTCTAGCTATTACAGATGAAGAGCTTGTAATTTCAGAACACTGAGGAAAATTTGCCCTGTTTTTTCTTTCACAGCCAAATGTGTTTTCTGTGTGTGACACTCTTGAAGGATCCCCCAAATTTTGCATTAAATCTCACTTTGGTTTTCACCTATCCAAGCTGGTTGTGGTCAAAAGTAAACTTCCATAAAGAAAAGAACCCCTACCTTTTCCTAATTGGATTTTGGATTTTTTTAATCTTCTCCATAGTAATTGACACTGTCCTTTACTACCCTCTAGTTCCTTGCGCAGTTAAAACTCATGGATTACAGTTTGCTGGTTGGAATTCATGATGTTGAAAGGGCAGAACAGGAGGAGGTCGAATGTGAAGAGAATGATGAAGATGACGGGGAAAGTGATGGAGCTCACCCTACTGGAACCCCTCCTGATAGTCCAGGAAATACACTTAACAGCTCACAGCCTTTGGCTCCAGGAGAATTTGATCCAACTATTGATGTTTATGGAATAAAATGCCATGAAAGTAAGTAGTTTTGCTATAAATATTTAGAAATAGAAAACACATAGATTCTTGCAACAGAATCTCTGAACTTTTGTAAAAAAATCAAACCACAGAAAGTCAAACAATATGTTAATGTCTGTCACATATTAATGTTGGATTTTCTTACCCTCCCTCTTTTTTTCTTTACATAACTGAAATTAAATGGAGGATTCCAAATGTGTGGCTTTGGTATTTTAGTATATTTTGATGTCCACGAACACAGAACAACCATTTACTGTTAACACAAATTGCTATTATTCCACTTTTTGCCATTTACAGTACTGTGAAGAGGTAATTTGTTAATCCTATGGAAGAACTACTGTTTGCTTTGCAAGATCTGCCTACTGAACATCAGTGTTCTTTTCAAACAATTTCATAGCTAATTGCAGGTTGGATCTAGCCAACATTTTCACTCTCCTCTGTACTGCAATGCCCCCAAGCCATACAGTTCTTGTATACACAGGTCCCATGATCCCCAGCCATAGCCTTTTGGAGTAGTCAAGTAGTCCTCCCTTTTTCAGCAGCAGAAAAGCAGGTTGGATGTTACACTCTGTCTTTACACTTCTTTGACAACTTGAAGTTCAATTCCAGGCTTCTTTTCTAACCACCACTTACTTACTTCGGGCACCTCTGCCATCTGAGGAAAGATGTTTGTCTACCCAAGAACTAGCTTTCTCAGTTATGGCACAAAACTTAGGGACTTCCCTCCCTAGTAAGAGTCATCCCCCTCTCCCAATTGTCTTCTGCCAGCCAGTGAAGACTTTTCTAATTTGTTTGGTGTTCCCTTACCGGCCCTCACAGAATCATAGAGTTGGAAGGTACCTCCAGGGTCATCTAGTCCAACCCCCTGCACAATGCAGGAAATTCACAACTACCTCCCCCCCACACACACCCCAGTGACCTCTTATCCGTGCTTGTTCCCGTTTATGTGTATATGTCTATTTTCTAGGTGTGTGCGTGTGCTGTGTGCATTTTACAATTTGTTCTAAAGTTTTGTTTGCTGCCTTGAAGACCCTGAACTGAGTGGAAAATCAGCATAAAAACTTATATATATAAAACTAAATTACTGTGTTACATGTGAACCTAGCATAAGCTCACAAGCAAAAGTTACCACTATTGCCAAAGTGGCAGATGAAGCTTTATCTCAAATACAGAAGGAACATGCACTCCTGATGGTTAGTTTGGCTTTCTGGGCTTTTTAATGGCTTAAAATTATCTTTGTAATTTAAATCAAATCTACATGGTCATGCTTTCCAGTCTACGTTTATAGTGGCCCATAGCTGGCCACTTATCTTGACCTAGAAGTACTTCTTTATCTTCCTGTATTTCCCTAGTTACATAAGAATCTTCAAGCTTTCTACTGTTTATGAGGGGAAAGGTTGTAGATCTGCCATAAGCCCTTTTATAAATTGGAAGTTTTGAAAACTGCCCTGCTGTTAGAGGGTGAAGGCCATCAACCTCTAACACTTTCTTGTTGCCTTTGTTAGTCCAAGTTCCTTCCATCAGTTGGTTGATTTCCTGTCCATAAAGTGTGACTTTATTTTTTTGCAAATGTCTTTCTTTTGTGTAGATGCACCTAGAAAGGAAGTTTACTTTATGGCCATCATTGATATTCTTACTCACTATGATGCAAAAAAGAAAGCTGCTCATGCTGCAAAAACCGTCAAACATGGCGTGAGTATCACTTCAGCAGCATGTTTCAGCCCTGTCATTCTCTTTGGGTCTTAGCAGTTTGGTGCTCTAACGTAGAATTGCCTGCTTAGGGGACTGGCTTCATCTACTTTCTCCCTGTCACTAATCTCTGAAAGAAGCTTTACAAATAGTCTGGTGATTTGTATTGTTGCTTATGTTGCGGAAATATAATTGGGTGCAATTTCTTAATGATATTTGAATCCTTTACATAAGAGAGTATGGATGATGAAGTATTTGTTTACAAAGCATTCTTGGAACCACTTGACAAGTTCAGCCTAATCTGTGGATCTGTTCATAGTTATGTGGAAAAGGGTGTTTCCTTCCCACCTTTTTTTTTTAAAAGCTATACTTGAAATGTCCACAGATTTCTACTTCCACCTCAGGTTGCCCTCTCTTGAATATAATGTATGGGGTGGGAATGGAGCCATGTGGATTTAATATTGTGTATTATATATCTGCCTTGACCTGAATAGCCCAAGCTAGCCCAATCTCATCAGGTCTTGAAAGCTAAGCTGGGTCAGCCTAGTTAGTACTTGGATGAGAGATTGGGAAGCAAGTCCAGGGTTGCTACACAGGCAGGCAATAGCAAACCACCTTTGAATGTCTCTTGCCTTGAAAACCCTATGGCGTTGCCATAAATCAGCTGCAACTTTATGGCTATATATACCTACTAGGGATTCTGCTGAAGTTTGGGGAGACAGCTTCCCTTTTGTCTGCTATTAAGATGGTGCAGGTTTCCTGAAATCAGAAAGGGGGAGAAATTGAACTGAGGATAGAGTTAATAGAGTTAATGACCAGAAGTGGATGCAAACCATGATTGACATGAGAGGAGGAGAAAATAGAATGGTACAACCCATGGAGAAAGAAGACAGTGAAAGCTTCTAACCACATCAAAGACATCCAAGGGGAATTCATACATGTGAAACTCTGTGCTTTCATTATACTCATTGGTTAACTCTACAGTTATCTGTGGCTCTAACACAGATGATTATGAATATTGTAGGAGGAGGCACATGCAAGGGACTTGGGTCAGTGGATGGGTATATTTGAGGAGTACCAGGCACTAGCAAGGCATTGTGGCTCAGTAATAAAGCACTAGCTTCTGCATACAGAAAGTCCCAAGTAAGAGGAAATGGTTGGAGCATTCTAAAGATCTATTTTACATGATTAACAATTTTACTAAATGAAAAATTTGAATTGCTCAGTGTGTGGAAATCGATTCTGCAGTGTATAAAGTATTCCAGAATATACTAAAGTTATTCTTTATGGGTTTCTGATATGTATAAAGTATGGTTACTCTGTAATTAATTGTATAAACGTAATAAAATCTTTTTAAAAGAAATTCCAAGGTGGTCCCAAGTTTAGTCCCTTGCATCTCCATTTAGAAACAGATCAGGTAACAGGTAATGCACAAGACCTCTACCTGAGACCTTGGTGAGCCCTGATAGACCAATGGTCTGGTTTCTTATGAAGCAGCTTCATGAGACGTACCCACTAGCTCATGTGTCCCTGGGAACAATTTTCTAAAGGGATGTGTAAATCTCCTCGGCTTTTGTAAAGTTGCAAAATCTACCATTTGGAGAATGGTGTTCAGTGACTATATTTTTATGAACTTTATCCAAGTTGTGTTTGTCTCTAAGACACCACAGCTTTCTGTTGTCTCAGATGTAAACTGCTTTCCTTTTCTCTCTTTTTATTCTTGCTTTTAGGCAGGTGCAGAGATTTCCACAGTTAACCCTGAACAGTATTCAAAGCGGTTCTTGGACTTTATTGCCAACATTTTGACGTAACCTACCATGTTTCATTGGACAGATATAAGGTCTGGGAACAGCAGCAATGGCTGCAAGTGTGTAAGGGACAAAAGCTTCTTTTAAAAAGGAACTCTCAAGTGCTATCTTGCAGAAGGCGGCCCCCTTGGTTTACATCTGCTGGCCATGATGACTGACTGGGGTGAAATATTCGCTTTAACAGCTGCCAGATATGCTCAGCATAGTTCTAGCTATTTCTGGTGTGTGGGTGTGGGTGTATGCGTGTGTGTGTGTGTGTGTGCGTGTGTGCAAAACCCCCTACAAATATAAATTAACTAATTAATAACATAGATCAGCATTTTACTTGGTGTATTGCAACTGCAGCACTCCAGATCCTAGCTGAGATGGAACGAATGGCCCAAGGATTGGAGGGTAAGGAAAAAAGGACATGCATGTTAAGTCCCACAATATTGACATCAAACTGTAAACTGTGGATCAGTTTCTGTTTTGAATGGAAAGGTGCAAGTCAGTATTGGTGGTGGTGATGATCTTACGGCGAATGCTCCACTTAAAACAGCCCTGCATGTTGGCACTCTTTAAGAATAGCGGCAACATTGTAAGCTCCATGTGCTGGAAGCTCTGCTTTTGGCATCTTTGCATTTTTGGTCTTCTCTCTCGTTTTTTAATTGGCCCGTCATGACAGGGAACAGTCTTCCAGCAACTCAGAGGTATGTCTCTAGTTTTACCAAGACCTAATGGCATAATCATACTCTGTGTGGGTTTTGTTTTGATTTTTTTAACAAAGGTAAAAGTATTGCCGGGGGGGCGGGGTTTAGGGATAGACCATTGTCATACCATGTGGAGATCGACACTATATTTATCATGTAGGAACTGATTGTGCTAAAAAGGAAATCAAGTACATTTTTAAGATTAGTTGTCTCATTTGGGGGCAACAAGTAGCATCATTTTCCGCCACATAAATAAAAGGATAGGAAGCCTATTCACCTGTGACTGATCAAAACTAGGACCTTTTAAATGCTTACATTGTGCTGTTATAATATTTTATTTTTAAAAAAAATTCCTTTTTTTAAAGCCCTAAATTTTTACTGTTTACATTAATAGGAAAACAGGGATGCTTTTGAGTTTGTGCACAGTATGTGAATACAAAGTTTACATGTAAAGTTATTTTGCAGTGCAGATGAAGTAATATCTTGAAGTGTAACACGCAGTAAATGTACTAAAGTGAATTTTTCACCCACCTCCATGATAGAAAACCTTTTACAATAAACGGTGACAGATTATTTTTAAGTGTATTAGGTGGGCTTTTTATCCCATTTCCTTAATAACTTGCTTTGTGTTTCTCCAAATTCTGTTGTATAATTCATTGCCTAAAAGTGTGCTGTCACCTTGTAAGTAACCTGTTTAAAAGCTTTTAATAATAATCAATTTTGGGGAACAGGTTCCAAGTTACTAAAAGGACAGAATTAGAAATGCTTATATATATATATATATATTCTCTACTTATACACTGTGCTAAAATTGTGCCTTTTTACAATTCTGTTTCAACATTTACGAGCAACTCAGAAAAAAAAGAGATCATATTCTCCCCTTGTAAGGTATAACTTAGCCCTGGAGTGCCAGGTTGCCTTCTCCAATAACTTAATGCCAGCGCTGTTAAGGCTGCAATTTGTATCATGTCTGTAGTGTTTGACTTCATAGAGCGCTGAAAAACTAGCAGCTGATCTTGCTACTGTATGCGGCCAAAGGAATTACCATCCTAATTACTCTGTACGAATTTTTTTTAACACGGTTTTGTTATCCTTCTAGTGATGTTAACTGTACTGTTACATGTGTACAATTCAAACTCTTATGTATTTAAGTTGACAATTGTGGTTTGACTTCTGTTTTGTTTTTGTTTTTTAATTCCTTTCCCCATATGTGCACACCCCATTTATCTCTGGCACCATGTGAATGTGTTTTTTTTTTAATTTCTTACAATACACAGTGGCTACTTAAGATATGATGAGACTGCAAAGGACACCACTGGGAAACAATGAGGTACACATACATAAAAAAAAGAATAAATATTCCATTGTACCCAAGTAGCGTATGCTTTTTATGAGCTTAACTACAAAGCCTTCATTTTCCTGTCTGTAACAGTCGCTTGTCACTCATGACTGTTGGATGAAACTGTTCGGGGAGAGGGGTGAGAGGAAGATCCACACTGTATTGCCTAGTTATAAAAACACACTCCAAACATGACTAAGGCTTTATAAAATAAAGCACTTTTATGACTTGCTAGGAAAATGCTTTGTCCCTTTTTCTTTTTGCTGCGCATTCCACCACTTTTGGAAATGGTACTCAAGATGAATGTTTAACTTGCATTTCAAAAAGCAGAAATGGAAGGTTTTTTGCTGGACTGCAATAATTTTCCTGTATACACGTGTACATATGCATGTCTGTGGTCGTGAAAGTCTCCTTCAAAATATTCCATCCCGAGCCCTGCCAACTTCATTTGCTTCATAACGTTGCCGTGGAGTGACATAAGGTTTAGTGAGATCTGAAACTGGCAACCTTTTCTGGTATATAGACCTCCAAAGTTAAATAGACCTCCATAGTTAAATTAGTTACTGAAGGGCATCATGTCCACAGTAAAGGTTAGATGTATTGTATCCCGTCTCTATGGATAATATAAGGGGATGAACATGCTGCTATAGTGTGGAAGCCTTTCTCTAAGGATGGTTGCACCCATGATCTTGAGTGATACATCTTCAAGAAATGGTTTCAAAGCCCACAATGTAGTTTTTCTGCTGAAACTGGGCAGGTTTTACTCATTCCGGTAAGTTGCCTACATGGGAAGCTACCTGGGAGCTGTATGCAAGACTGTTCAACAAAAGAGTAGGTTAGGAGCATAATATGTATAAACAGGGCATTGAATCTGGAAGATGTGTTTGCAGTGCTAGACAGAGGATGATCACATCAGTCCAAGAACAACAGTGCCTTTTCCCCAAAGTTTCAAGTTAAAATTCACAAAATAGTGGATGACTGCTTCATGGGTAGTGTCCATGCAGCTACGTCCAGTGGCAAGGTCCTTGCACCACTGCGAGAAGGATACATAGTTAACTGAGGGCAGAGTGGCAGGATGCAATCAAATGCTGTTAAACCAAGTACAACTTCTTAAAACTCCTCAATCTGAAGCCATAAAAAGCCAGGTGTGAGCAAAGTTTTTCTCACCCACAATAGCCTGAGTGGTATCCCAGAAGGTGCTTGTGGGTCAAACTAGAGGTGACAGCCGCAGACAAATGTGATTAAACAAGTAGATGTTCTCAACCATGTAGCAAGTGTGTGTGGGGTGTGTGTGTCTGATTTAAATAAGAAAAGGGGGGTATGCATGTAGATGAAGTATAGATCCCTTGCCCTGTAACCTGTATTCTTATTATTATTTTTTCCCATGTAGATGAAGTATAGATCCCTTGCCCACAGTGTGTATCCCTGTAACCTGTATTCTGATTTTTTTTTTTCATCAGCAGTACTGGACGTGGACCTAGCTATGAGGAAAATACTTCTGGGGCACAGAACCAAGGGCAGGGGACCCTGTGTCGTTTTTGCTTTTAAGCAACGAAGTTGGACTCCTCCACTTTGTTCTTGATGGGGGCAGACCTGGATCTAAACACACTGATCTGTAGGTGTTGGCTTGCATCCAACAAGAAGCACAAGTGGCGCAGGACTTTCTTCTCTCTCCCATTCAATGTGCTCCTCACCCACAGCTCGAGTTTGGCCCTCTAGCAACTCTGTTTTACACACACAAAAATGCTATTGTGATTTACACACTATTTGTGAGGTGGAGTGGGTGGATGAGATTTCATTTTTCCTTTGACAAAATACTGCCACTCAGGTGCTAGGACAAAGGCAAATGGATGGGCTATATATGTGGGGTATAGAGAGGAAAAGAGATAATTATGGAGAAACATTCTAGGAAAAGGTTAGAGGTTTTGAGCATTGAAATGGGAAGGTTTGGTTATGTCATGATACATCCAGCATTTCATGGCATAGGGTGTTCTAGGTAGCAGATGTTCTTTTCCAGCAGACACCATGCTGGCTGACAGACAAACAGCTTCTGTATAAACAGCCTGATGGTGTGATTTCTGTCTTTAATATTTGGTGTTTCCAAGGTGTGCCTGCCTGCTTGGTGTATTAGTCAAGGACCAGAGGTGCCTGGTGGCTCATGATGCTGAGAAGATGAAAATAGACATAATGCAATTAGGAGTAAATTTAGAGTCTGTGCCTTGGCTTTTTTTCTTCTTCCATGCAATCCTTGAACAGTTGAACAAAGAGCTCTCCCCCCAACAAAAGAGATCATAGAATCATAGAGTTGGAAGGGACCCCCGGGGTCATCTATTCTAGTCCAACCCCCTGCACAATGCAGGAAATTAACAAATACCTCCCCCTCCACACCCACAGTGATCACTGTTCCATGCCCAGAAGATGATAAAAAACCCTCCAGGATTGCTTCCTGACCCCAAAGTAGCAATCTGCATTTCCCTGGGCGTGTAAGGCAGGGCCACAAGAACTAAGCACTGACTTCCGGTTTATGGCAACATGCAGGCAGATGCATCTCCCGAACATCCCGGGGATGCAAACTGCACACCAGCATGTGGGGGGGGGTGCGACCCCCCCCCCCCGGGAGCCTTGGTAAAAGGCTCTTAGCCAAGGGGCTTTTGAGAGGTGACCTCTTCGATGGCAAAATGCCAGAGAATTGAGGCGCTCCTCCGCCCCGAAGGTCCTGCCGCTGAGTGACTGTATGGTACGAGTGCTGCTGGGACAAGCGTTGGAGATCGGGTGGGGAAAAAACGATGCTGAGCGAGGCCAGATGGGCCAACAACAAACTGTGAGTCGGGTTGAAGCGAGCATGAAGATATAAAAAGAAAGCTGCCCCCCTATAAAGAGTGACAAAAAAGCGAGCGGGGGAGGGGTTCCTCCAAACCGCATAGACGAAACACGGACAAGGGGGGAGCGGAAAAATAAGCATTTAAATCTGTTTTAAGAGACTTACCAGAGCGCAGATAAGCGTTTGGGCTAATATCAGAGATGTGAGCAACTTTTTGAAAAGTAAACAAATCCAAAAAGATGGCAGGGAAGAAACCGGAGAAAGAAAAGCTGTTGAAACTGAAAGTAGTGGGTAGTCCTCGAATGAAAGAGGTTACCGAGCTCTCAAAACTGTTGGCTGATTCCTTGCGCCCTCTGCTGGAGGAGATGACTAATATCAAGCTACAACTGTCAACAATCGGGCAGAGTTTGGCATCACAGCAGTTGCAATTGACTCAATCTTTAAAAGCAACGGAGCAA